TACCCTTTAACATGCTGGCCCTTTGAGGTATCATGGAACCATATTTGTGTCATTTTACAACAGAGTTGTATAAAGAGATGAAGTTTGTAGTTCCCTTTATGCTACCCACAAAAAGCAAAGGTCATACAGAAAAATGATATAATTACATACAGAAATAAAACTATTTCACATAGTGCTGAGGATGACTTTAGGAATCTCTCAGCCTAGGGGAAGAACCCTGAAGGCAGCGGAGTGAACAGGCTGTGGCTGGGTCGGTGGTGTCTTTTAATATACTTTAGTAACGGATGACAGTCACAGCTAGGAGACAAAGACCCCACTCAAAGTTTTAGTCAGCCCCCTGCTGCAGTCACATAGATATGGAGTTGCCATTGAGGTGGCTCAGAGTAGGAATGAGGCCTAAACTGAGAGTGGGTTGCGGGGAGTGGGCTGACAGGTCCATATTGAGGTCAGAGGTACACTGAGGTTATTGAGGTTGGGCATAGGATCGAAAGAAGTTGATGATGAGGTGTTGCTGTTGGTCAAGCGGCGGAAGACAAAGTGGAAGGGAACGGTTCTGAGTGGCTGTGAAGCTCAGCCTGATCTTCTGAGGGTGGGTGTCTGGTGCCAGCTGCTGGCTGCTGCCCTCCAACAGCAGGAACAAGCCGTACTTCTCAGGGTCTGACACTTTAAATTTTAGCGCACATAGCTGACACACCTCCTCCACAGTGGCATACGGTCGGACCTGTAGGGTCTTGGCAGTACAGCCGCTGTCCAGCTCCTGCAGTGCCACCCGCAGGTAGTTCTGAGGGACAGTCAGAAAAAAATACACAATTAGACAAACATTGTAGCTCTGCAACTATGCAGCAATGTACATAGCATCCCTAGCTCCTTTTTTGAGCGTATCTGAGTGTTATTTTTTATAATTGTTATTTATTATAATCTCATCATGTCTTGCTTCGTATTAATGTTCGTTCTTTAAAAAGTTATCAAACTAAAATATTTGTAGTGGGACAACAGTGTGGATTTGTGCATTTATATTGAATAAATTTGGAGCTACTCCAAATTCCTCTTTTCCTCTCCCAGAGAGGAGCAGGGGGGTTAAAGATCAACTTCAACAGACTGTTGAAGAGACCCCAACGGAAGGGGGGGGGTGGAAAAGTTGCTTTCTTTAAGTGCTATGCCTGTTGATCGTAAAACTGGCGCCTTTTTGATCTACAAAGCTGATAAAGCGGTGCCTGTTAAACTGACAAAAGGGACACGAACCAGCGATTAGCATTTCCCTGAACAGCCTATCAAAACTGCGCCCCCACGCATGTAACCGTGGCAACTATCCTGGGTCTGTGCTTCATTACCCCATCAAAGGGATACTCCTTGTCTCACCCACTTGTGACATAACCCAGGAAGCCGAACTTTAAATAACCAAAGACTGAGTCTGCAAAGACTCAAAGCATTTAATTAAGTTTAATTAAATCTTTTAGTTACTTGATTACGTTTGCCTCTATTTGAGTAGTTATGTTACCATGTTGTTGCTATTTGTTATTAGTGCTGAAAAGAATCTAAATAAGTTACTTTTGCAGTGTTTTTATTTTCAGCAAGACACTCCCTCATCTAATGGAATCAATGCTTGTTCATAATACTTTCCCACAAAATTCCTTTAGAAATGATGATAAAGAAATGTCATACTATACTCTAGTAATTATCCAGCTTGAATTTAAGGTTGAATTCCCCATTTCCTAAGGAAAGATTGTTTTGGATTAATCTAAGCTTTCCTCATGTAACTTGAGCTCCCCCAAGTGGACGAAATAAGTATTACATACCATCGTTGGAAATGCCGTCAATGTATAAATATCTTGACCAATAATGTGACAATTGTTTCCTGTTACCAAATGCTTAACTGAGGTTTGATTGTGGAAAATATATGATTATAATACGTGCAAATAGATTTCTTCTCTTTTAGATATTAAGTTTAGAAAGGCAGTCCCTCGGGAAACCTGAAACGCCCTCTGGAGAGCCACGCCCCAGGCAACAAAAGAGTGACACGCGACGTTGTTCACTCTCGCTCTCTCTTCTCTTCTCTCCCCTCGTGCCCTGGTCTTCCACTCTGCTCTCTGGACGCTTCGGCACGCGTCCGGCGTGCCTCGCCAGGCAACGCCTAAGAGTCAGCCAGCGCAACAGGCCTTTGTTCGCTTGAAGCTACACACGTGAAGTGCCGCGACATCGATCTGCCCCTCAGTTTGTTTTATTTTCTTTCTTTCGTTTTGTTAAAGTTATCAATCCGTTAAGTTACACTGGACTAATTCAGGAACGACCAAGTTCCATTTTAAGCAGGCCGACAAGCCGTAAGACCTAACAACATTCTGTAGTCAGAGATGTCCCGTAATGTTAATATTTCCATTTCAACTCCTAAACTCATAGCTTACTTTTATTAGTTCTCCTATGCCGTATGAGTCAAATGCTTCCCACAATCGAACCTCCATTGCTCAGCCATTGTTTATTTTCCCTGTATTTAACCACCCGTTTATATCGCTTTAGTTAACATTAGTTAGAGAATAAATTCACTGTAATATAATCAAGAACTGTGTGTGTTGCCTATTTCCACGTCCCTGCCAAGAGAATTGACCCTTTAGATATGAGACTGACTTAAGATAATTTAGCGATTATTAAACTAACTGATCACTAGTAATAATTGTATAATTATTAAAAGCTACCTAGAGGTCCGGAGACTCTAGGATTATCACAACTCCAGTGGTAACCTGAAATGAGGAATATATTTTTGATTTTCTGAATATTAAAATTCATAATGGTATTAATTCTCATAAATTTATTAAAATTATTAAAACTAATTTAGCCATGCTACATATTGATAAAAATGCAATCAGTTACTGCAACCTAACAAGCCATAAGAAAAAAAGATCATGTTAGTAAAGATTTATAAATGTGCAACAAAACAAAAACATATTCATCATCAAAGCAATGCTTGGATGCAGGGGAAATTCCTGCCTTAAGTTAAAAGTGATAATTGAATCAACTCCAAATCAAAAGGTAAAAAATATAAAAATCCTCAAATCCAAGTGCTTCTGACTGTTGTAATCTTGACAATAAGCTATGTGAACAGTGCTGTTGGGTTTTTACCTGGAAGTCGTCAATAGATGGAGCAGAGCGCTGGGTGGTGCGTCGGCGGTGCCACTGGTGAAGTGTGTCCCTGGTTTCAGAGCTCAGCACTCTGGCTGCCTGCTCCTCCTGGAAGTTTCTGATCAGGGACATGGCTCCATAGGCACTAGTCAGGTAGTAGCCACCTAGAAGTGAACACACAGAGGAAGAGGGATAACAACATATTTTTGGATTATAAGATAACTTCGGCATTTCTTCAGTATTTGTTTTAGATGCTGTTTTGAAGGCAAAGGGTGGTCACACCAAATATTGATTTGATTCAGATTTTTCTTCTGTTCATTCTCTTTTAATTTTGTTAATTGATAAAAGTAATCTATTACTGTCTATTTTTGAAAGCATTCTTACTTACAGCATTTTTTCCACACCGGCCTAAAACTTTAACACAGTCTCGTACGTCCACTAGAGAGCTTGTTTTTGCCACTGAAAGACTCAAGTTGTTATTACAAGTGTCTGACAGCATTATGGGAAGGATACAGTTTCTAGTTTTTAAAAAAAAGGGTCTTTCTCTTTAAAAAAGGTCTTTGTAGGGATACTTTCCATAATGCTGTCAGACACTTGTAATAACACTCTCAGTCAGTGGCAAAAACAAGCCATTTAGTGGACATAATCTGACAGCAAGGATTACATTGCAGCCCTGTTTCACTGCTGCAGACTGCAGCGTGTTCGCTCAATTAGTGACAGACACAAAAACATGGAAAAACTAGGTCCAGTTTGGAAAATACCCAAGTTACCCAAAGGAACCATCCAAAGGAACCATCTTGATGGATCTCCAGTTTAAACAAATGGTAAATAGTCCGTACTTGTATAGCACATTTCTAGTCTTGAGAGCACATTTCTAGTCAAGACATTTATACACTGATGGCAGAGGTTGACATGCAAGGCACCAACTGCTGATCAGAATGGAATATTCACACACCCTCACATCACAGCCATTGGGAGCAATATGGGGTTTAGTATCTTGCCGAAGGACACTTCAACACACAGACTGGAGATCAGACTGGCATCAAACCATCTTATTACTTGTTGACTCGCTCTACCTCCTGAGCCACAGCCGCCTGCTCCTTCCAAAGGCTGAAACATACCTTCTCCATGGAGAAGTGAGGGGTCCAGCAGCTCCATCATGTAAAGGATCTCATTGTCCAGCTGGGGCATGTCGCACTGGGCCAACACATAGGTCAGCATGGGCAGGAAGTCATCAGCACCATACAGCCGACCTGAGAGGCAGACAGACCAGGGTGTGAGATCCTGCAGTTTTAATTTCATTTGTTAGGGCCCGAGCACGACCATGCGAGGTCCCTATTGAATTTGCTAAGATTATTAGGGCCCGAGCACGACCATGCGAGGTCCCTATTGAATTTGCTAAGATATATATATATACACTCTGCAAAGTAGGCTCCATTGACAGGGCCTAAACATATCGAAAACGCACCAAAATTTGCAAACATGTCAGAACTGGTGAAAAATTTCGTATTTTATGGGTTTCGCGCATGGGCGTGGCAAAATGACTCGCTAGCGCCACCTAGAAAATTGGAAAATATTATCCCCGCGTTCACGTTCAACCTACATGTACGAAATTTTCTGGGGACATGTATCATATCAAGACGCACAAAAAAGCCTCAAGAACCCATACCCTAAAGTCAACAGGAAGTCGGCCATTTTGAATTTTACGTCAAATTTTGGATGATTTACACACTCAGTACTTTAACGAACTCCTCCTAGGGATTTAGTCTGACCAACTTCAAATTTGTGCTGTGCCTTCTAAAGACATTGAAGATGAAAAGTTGTGCTATCTGAGTTTTCGTCAATGGGCGTGTCCGTGGCGTGCCGTCAAAGATCAACTCTTCGCTGTGACACAGGAAGTTGTTGTAACTTCAGTGTACATGCTGACATCTGCACCAAACGTTACGTGCTTGATAAGTATCTTGCCCTGAACATATCTACACACCAATATATTTAACCGCGTAGCAAATTCACAGCCGCACCGGCAGAGCTCCAGAATGTGCAACTCGGCCGTCTCACACCCGGACGCGCTACAAGTGCGAGGGCCCGCCCAACGCTGCTTGCAGCTTTAATTTTTTTTTTGCAAATCTTAAAATCTATTAATTCACATGAGCATTATTGTGTGTATTATATTAAAAAACTGGTGCAATATTCAGATATGTACCTGAATTTTCCTCCATGATGGTGTAGATGAGTTTGCAGACTCTTAGCAGCATAGTGACCTTCTTCTCAGGGGAGTACAGTTTACTCATGGTGTGGAACTTGAGCTTGATCTTCTCTATGGCCACGCGGTCTGGGGGCAGCGTGTCAGCCACACCCATTTCCTGCGGCTGCTGGGCCTTAGCCAATGACAGGTTTTCTTTCAGCTCCTGCCATGCACCACTGCGCACCTGGAACTCTTGCAGTGCTACGCTCACCACCGGTTTGAGGGGCTTGAGGATGCACTTGTGCATGGCCTTCTCCAGAACACGATCTGGGGAGAGAAGGAAGCAGGAGTGCTTTTCACATGGACCTACTGTACTTCTAAATGTTCTAATTTAACACTATCCATGCTTTCAGCAGACTTTCTGAAAAATGGCATCTTCGTATGAACATTACTTATATTTTAGTAAAGCCAAAGATAAAACAAACATTTTCAGATGTTTGTTAGTTTGTGTTAAATCAACTACTTTTGACTGGAATTTTCTGTGTAAGGCCTCCTTTTTTCCAGGCAGTAACAAATGGCCTTCATTTTAGTCACAGAAGTCAAGCATCAGTTTTTCAAGTTTGCTGGACGATAAAACATCAACAAGGAAATATTCATTTATCAGGATGTTTGGAGGAGTCTTTCTGAAGTTTCTGAAGGAAACTTATTGCAGTAGCTTCGTGACTCAAATATAAAACTGGGGCTAAGAAAGCAGCACAACATACAAAGTATGTTTTTACATTTAAATCTATGTTGGCATTACTCTGTTTTAGATATTAGGGTTTAGATGGCATCAAGATTTATATTAAATAATGATTATTTTTAGATTATAAAATATGAGGTTATTTTCACTTGGGCACCACTCTTGAAACATGACTAGAAACTATTAATTTGGAATTTTGGTTAATAATTATATTAATAACTACAACAAAATTACCATCAGCAGATGGGTTGAAGGATGTGGAGTTCTGCAGCATAGGTTGACAATATATTTATTCTTATGCAATATTAAAAGAACCAGCATGTATAGGGGAGAGGGTGATTTGAGCCTGTAGGGAAGTTGGCCAGCCCTCGTTTCTCGGCACCCATAGACAAAATTGGTCATGCGTCACCCATGTGTCACCCATTTTACTCTCCCTATGATGAAGAGAGGCCCATGGAATAAGTGATGAGCACATTTAAGATCAAACAATTGTTTTTTTTCCCGTTCAAAGTGATTTTTATGTTCAAGGAGTCGTTTTACAGACAGGTTTGAGAAAATCTTACGCATGTGTTAGTGTTTTAGGAAGTTACAAAATGAGGTTATACTGTTAGCATGACGTTAATTCTAAACTGTTGGATGACACAAGTTTGTTAAAATGGCAGGGATGGGGTAATTTCAGCCAAAAGACTTTGAGCCAGCTATTTTATTGTAATTTTGCATTCACCAAAATGATGTGACATTATGCATTTTAGACCAGAAACCATCATGTCATGCTTCTATAAATGGAAGACAGACAGGCTTCAACTCCTATTGTGGGTTGGGACAGAGCATTCAAGTCAACTCAATTTTATTTATATAGCACCAAATCACAACAACAGTTATCTCTGAGCGCTTTTCATAAAAGAGCAGGTCTAGACCATACTCTGATGATATTTACAGAAACCGGCGACAGAGGCAAGGAAAAAGTTTTAAGAGGCAGAAACCTCGAGCAGAACCATGGCTCAGGGTGGGCGGCCATCTGCCTCGACCGGTTGTGGGGGGGGAAGAGGGAGGGGGATGGAAGGAGAGAGAGAGAGAGGGGCCTACACAATATACATACAGAGGTACAGACAGTAAAGGTAAAGTTGCTATAGACTGGATGAATAATGGTACAGATATTTACAGTAGTGTTAATGATAATTGTTATGTTAATGATTATAATTACAATAACAATAAGACTAGTAACAATAATTGTAGCAGAGGGTGTCGAGCAGGAACACTGGGGCAGCAGGTGACTCGCAACCACAGATCCAGACTCCACAGCTCCAGAGCCAGAAACACCTGCGTGATAAGTGATAGGAGGAGAGAAACGAGAAAGCACAAGACTACGGGAAAGGGGAGTAGTTGAGTTAGTAACATGCATTAATGGGATGAGGTTGCATAGAGAGGGAGACAAAGAAGAGGAGCTCATAGTGGGAAATTCCCCGGCAGTCTAGGCCTATAGCAGCATAACTAAGGGATGGTTCAGGTCTCACCTGAGCCAGCCCTAACTATAAGCTTTATCAAAGAGGAAAGTCTTAAGCCTACTCTTAAATGTGGAGATGGTGTCTGCCTCCTGAACCCAAACTGGAACCTGGTTCCACAGGAGAGGATAGCTGAACACTCTGGCTCCCATTCTACTTTTGGAGACTCTAGGAACCACAAATAACCCTGCATTCTGGGAGCGCAGTGCTCTGGTGGGGTTACTACCCCACCAGAGCACAGGTATTGTTGTTGTGTATCTTGTTAATCACCACTCACCTCCACACAAACGAAGAAAAACACTGGTGGGCGAGAAGCTGTGAGGGGCTGCTGTCTGTGTTGTGCTGCTGCGGAAGAGATGCGGAGCGAGCGAGAGGGCATCGGAACTTGACGAAGTCTCATCTTCCGACTTGATATTTAGTTTTCTCCCCCCCCAATAAATATATTTGTTTGACAGGGAAGCTGTGCGAAAACAGGAATAAATATACTGTATATAAAAGAGCCCCAGAAAAAAGCTTTCTCTTGAGGAAGAAAAAAGGCAGGCGCTTAAGCCCCTCTTTATGTCTGTGTGTGCACATGCCTGACGCCACTAGTCATAACTTGGAAACTGTTGTCTCTTTAGATGCAGAGAAAGCCTTTGATAAGGTAATTTGGAAATTTCGGTTCACAACTTTTTAAATTTGGATTTGGACACTCCTTCAGAGACTGGATTAAAGCATTATATCGTTTCCCAAGAGCTTCTGTCAGGACAAATGATCATACTTCTGCAAGCTTTAGTCTTCAAAGAGGCACCATGCAGGGTTGCCCACTCAATTCAAATTAGCATTATTGAAATGAATGTATAATATTGCCAAAGCATCATACAAACTACATAAGATCAATCAACCCCATACATTAAGTAATTAAAGCGTATGTGTGTTAGAAAAATTAAAATATCACTCTCTCCCTTGCTATTCGCCACTAGCAGCTGCTATCAGACAAAATACAAATATTAAAGGAATTCAAACAGAAAATGTGGTGGTGATGGTGCAATGGATAAGACGCATGCCTTTGGTGTGAGAGACCCAGGTTCAATTTCCCACTGTGACCCATCCACCAATTTGTCCCTGAGCAAGACACTTAACCCCTAGTTGCTCCAGAGGCGTGCAACCTCTGACATGACAATTGTAAGTCGCTTTGGATAAAAGCGTCAGCAAAATGAATAAATGTAATGTAGACCACCAAGATAAGCCTTTATACAGATGATGCATTACTTTTCCTGCATTCCTTCTCTTTCTGAGACAATCACACTTAATAAATTCTCATCCATCCCCACACACAAACAAATTTAGGTTGTCCACAGTTGTCAACAGGTACTTGCATTATTCATTATGCATGTGAATAAGTTATTTATTTAAATGAATTGTTAATATTTCCCTCTTAGGGCTGTGCTGTGTTTTATTTATTTTGCTTTACTGTTTCTCCTTTTCATTCTCCCTCAGTTGTTTTCTTATGTCTGCTTATGTATGTTGTTTGGCTGGTGTAGCTGACTTTAACATCAGTGTAAACCCATTTCCTTGACAACACCGGAAGTCGTTCATGCGCAACTTTTACGACGATAAAGTAGTTTCGTAATGCAATTATAATATGTCTTGTCTATTGTAATTCTGAGTAATAGTGTGATTAAAGCTGTTGTTGCTCTTGTTAAATTCAAGAAGACCAAGATTTTTATTGCTAGTCACGACTGTGAAAGTTTGAGAGTAGCGCAGAGGAGAGAGAATGGGGGGTGAGAACAGCGAACTTTTAAGCTCCTGTTTGTTATTCTACAGCTGGTCTACCAGGCGAACACAGTAATAATTATTGAGTTATCTTATTAAGCACTGTTAAATGTTGTTTACAAGTAAATGTGAAACACATTTTATTGGTGTGCATAAGAAATAAGAGACAGAGTATATGAATGTTGTTTTTTTAGGCGCTTTGTGTTTGAAACTGTTTATCTTCTAGTCTTCAGTGTTCCATGATACAAAGAAGAATAAATTCTCTCTTTTCTTTCCTCAAAGCCCCCCTCACTGTTCTCTTGCAGGTGTCTTCACTTTCTCCAATTGGTGTTTTCCTCTGTCCTGTTGTCCCCACCCCTATCCCCGTTCTCCTGCAGGTGCTGTCCTTTGCTGTGTCTGTTTATGTGATGTTTGTGCCCCCCATCCCTATTATATCCCCCCTGTCCGGCTCAGTGACAGATTAACATACAATTAAATAAATAATGAATACAAAGGAGTGTTAAAGACTTGTTGGTTAAAGCAAAATCTGTCTGGCACAACATGGTACCCAGCTCCTCCCTCTCTATACAAGGTTACTGGGTGGGGTAAGTAGAAAAAAAAGATGAGAAGAGAGTCGAAAGAGAACAAACAGAGTTTGTGCTGCTGTTTTTATCAATGAGGTGTTCAAGTTTCTTGGGGTTCCTGGGAAATTGAGTTCAGTGACTCACTTGACACTTAACTCTGACTCCGGGGATGGCAAAGACATGGTGGGTTCAGGGGTTCGGGGACAGGACAAGAATCAAGCGGTAGAGGAGCGAGGGGGAGGTCAGGCATCAGAGAGGCAGAATATCTTCATATCTAACTCTGTGAATTACTTTTTTCCCCCACCAAACCAGAGCTGGTGATTGTTGGACAGTTGAAAGACTAAACAAGATGAATTTAGTGAGTTTTAAAGCAGACCTATTATACTGCATTTCCAGCCGTGTATTGTAGTTCTGTGACTCCTCTATGGTAGTTTTGCATGACTCAAAGTAAAAAAAAAAAAAATTTTCTATCTTGTACTGGCACTTCATGTAGGGCATCATTTCAGCCTCTGTCTGAAATAAGTAGTAGATGCTCCTATCTCTTTGAGACCCCCCCCATCTTGCTGGAATTCTTGCCCCCGATACTTTCCTTTTCAGTTCAGTTCCTGAACTGAGTTTGTTGTTTTTCTGCAACTAACTGACCAATAAAAACTTCTTCACGTAAGACTCTTCCCATTGACTAATGGTTTAGTCGACTATTAGGGAGCAGCCCTACTCATCCTACACCATAGAGAAAGAAAATTTTACTAAACTGCTAGATGTGCACTGAAGTGTACTGCCTCGGAAACAGTGTGTGTGTGTGTGTGTGTGTGTGTGTGTGTGTGTGTGTGTGTGTGTACTAACATTTGCGTCGGTGTGGGTTCCCATCGGTGGGAGCACATCCACCTAAGGAGTTCCAAAATCGGAGTGGGGCCCAAAATGGTGGGCCCCACTCCGATTTCAATTAAAATGAGCTCAGCAGCTTCCCCTGATGCTACCATTGCTTTTTTTTTCATTTCTAAAAAGTGGCCCGTAAGGTAGCAAAAAGTGGGTATGTGTGTGAAGGTGTGTATCGTCCAGCCTTTTTGTACCGGAAGTCAGGATATACACTTCCCGCGAAATCGAATACACACCGCGGGAATCTGAAACCTTTGGCCAATGAAATTACTGCACTGTACAATCAGCCGCGAATGTAAGGAAAACTGCGGAAATTGCACAAGAAGAAGAAGTAGATGAAGAAGAAGACTTCAAGGATAGAAGATTGAAGAAAGAAGAAGACGGAGTGGTTGGACATCTGAATATTTTTACAAATACCGACTTCTTCATGCAACAGGTAAGCTAGGCATGGTTTTATGGTGAGTTTATTTTGGCGTTATATCGTGATGTTTGCTACCTCGTTTAGCTGCCATGTAGCTAACGTTAGCGACATAATATTACTATTAGCAGTTGGCTTAACCTAATAACGTCACCACGGACATGACAGCGGGGCAGAGACAGGGTGCAGTGAAGTCCTGTCGTTAAAGGTGGAATCGGTTGTGAATTGTGAGCAAGACAGGGCAGGACTCGCTGATGGAGGTTAGCCAGAAGCTAACGCAGGACTGAAGCTACGGTGCCGTGTTGGAGTCACTCAATAATAATCAATATCAAAGATGTTTTAAAAACAGAAGTTATGGCCGAACACCACATGATGTTTTGACACTTTAAATAACAAAAAAATAACAAATAAGTAAAGGTTTTTGAAAAGTTGTACATACATGGGAGAGGTACTACAAATATGCAGTATCCTTTTAGGCATTTAAACCCATTTTTGCCTGAAAAAATGCAGTCGAACAGAAAATTTAGGCGTCACGTCATTGACCCACATTTTTAACAAATAAAAACACATTCTTAAATTTCAGAGCATCACTGTGACTGATCAACTGATCAACAAATGTAGCAAGATGTGAAACCTTTGCTTGTTTAGACTCAATACTTCTAAGGGAAGTTTTCACCAAGCTTTTGTCCTGGTGGTACCGGCCTACCCTGGACCCCCCCATAACCATCCATGCGCTTATGTATGAGGAAGGATGTGATGCTGCATATGTCAGTCAATGGTCATGTGGCAACGCCGCCATGCTGCTGTACCAGAAGTTAAGTTTGACATCCCTAGTTTAAATTGATTACGGAGTGTCTGTGCAGCACAACATGGTTATCATCTAACAAGTTAACTTCTCGGCTTCAACAGGCTCGGTCAGCTTTCAGTGTGCTCATTTCAGAATTTGCATATTTCATTAGCCCGTGTTTGATGTTAAACAATGTGCATCTTGCAATAGCAAAGCTCAGTACACAGCTGTTGCAGCGTCTATGTGTTTGTATGAATGTCTGTTTATTTATTTATTTTACATAATAGATTTTTTTTGTGACTCGCTATTTTTCAAAAACCTTTTTGTGAGATTTGCCTTGACTAAGTACGAATTACAATTATTTTCACAGAGCCATTATGTCCACAAGGAGGAGGAGGAAAAAGCCTATAGACGATGCAAAGACATACATTCTGTCTTGCACTGACAAGGATGGGTTTATGCCGAGATTCATTGACCGTTACAAAGGTAAGTTGCAGAAGATTCCTTGACACAACTTGTGCATTTCAAAAGCAAAAAAGTATTATTGTTGATGTTAGGGATGAGTCGCGATCTTCGAATAGTCGGAACTGCGTGCGAAATTCGATCATAAAAAAGCATTTTCGAATATCGTTATATTTTCGCGCAATTCCTATGTGTTCTAAATTGACACCGCACCTACATTCACAGAACACGCAGCTGGGTATTTTCCTGTCGGGGACACAAGGTGTCGTCAGCTAACATGAATGAAACACCCTACTGCGCGATCTAGGCTACCTGTGTTTTGTGCATAGTGTAAACAAACAACAGAAGAAGAGTATTGTCGTGACCGTTTACTCTGCGACCAACCATTTTAAATTATGCCAAGCAAAGCTCGCTGGCATACCACCACTCGGGGGCTGTTTACACTTCACTTCATATGTTTTCTGTGATCGGACAAGTGTATGTGCATCTGGTTGTTGAAACCACATATGTAAATGTTACTCCTCCCAAAAATGCACAAAAATAAACGTGTGAGAGAGTGTTATTATAGGCTATACGTCATGTTATAGCTAGATATGACGACGCTACTGCAACACGGCGCAGCTGAGCATCTATTCATCAAGCCAACTTGCAAACTATCGCAAATCAAAGTGAAAGTAAGTCGCAGATGCTTAACACACAATCATCTTCATTAAAAGTAAAGAAACGAGATGATCTTACCAGCGCTGTTGCCACTCTCTCTTTGATGTTGACATTTTAGCTGACGATCAATAAAATGCAGCACATATCTTAACTCCATTAAATCAGTATATAGTGCGGGAGTTGAAAATCGGATTTATATCCGACACATTTATGTGACCAAGTGTAAATGGAGCAATGTACAGCCCCGTACAACAACGATGCGTATAGCCACCTGAGATTCAAAGCTCCCGGCAGCAGCTTCATCCTCCCCACCAGTCATGGCTAGTTCGTTGGGTAGACTTGGCTAAGTTGCATGCTAGGCATCTGGCAATATAATTTCCTCGCCTGACAAAGTTAGTAATCTTCTGCTTAAGTGTCCCAGCTGTGCTCATTAGCAATTAGCCTCTGCGTTGTGGGCGGAGCCAGCGCTGCGGTAAATTATGAAAGCTAATACCAATATCTCTCTTCTTAGCACTGCAACCCACTACAGCACACAGGTGTTGATCCGCCATTGTCTTCTCTACTCCTCATAACCTGAGCGGAGTGGGGCAGGAGCTTGTGGCCCCCCCAGAGTTATTACATCACAACTCCAGTCTGTTTTAGGCTGCCTTTTAGTGACTGCCATTGGTTCACAGCCATTTGAATGCAGAAATACTCAAAAATGCAATTTTGAGCTTAATTTTCTAAAGATATGTCCTCTAGCTTTAGAAAAATGCCACAAGAACATGTTAACAACACGAAAAACATGATTATCATCGGAGTGGGTCTTTAAAGCTCATTTGCACAATACATTATTTAACTAGTCTCTCTATTTGTTGTATATACGTTTGTTATATTGCTTTTCTGTGTCCTATATTTATTTTGTAAATCAGGAATACTTTCCGTTTTTTATATTGCTATTTAATATTTAGTTTCATGCCTTGCTGCGGCTACAATGTATTTTTCCAGTTGTGGATCAGTATAGTACCGTCTGTCTATGTCAAAAGTCTGAGTTGCATGATGTTCTTACGCTTCACTGGTGTTACCTGCACTAAATGGTACACGGCACTCTCAGTTTAAAGGAGTCATAACTTAGTATTACCTTGGATACCCACGCTCTATTATAGCCTTTCAGGCCCTTCTAAAAAAGAAAAGTGGAGAGCTCCTCTGACCCTTATTTCTGAAGGCATTATTGTCTCGCGAGATCTGATGTGATATTTTGGCTGTCATGGATGGTCATTTTAATAATGCAAAGGGGCGCGTTGATTGGTGGCAGGAAGGAGGGGGGTTGACACCGCACGTAACTTCAGCATATCATTCCAAAATGACATCATGGCGCAAGTTGTAAATGCACCCGACCTGGCTGCGACCTACGGAATTCAACCGTACATGCACGAGCCAGACTCTGAATCTGAGCTGGAAAGGGAAGATGTAGAGTCGATGGAAGGACGTCTACATCAAGATGTCTCTGAATGGTAAAAACAATCATTTTGACTGAGACATTCATTATACCTTTTATTTAATGTAGATTACATTAACGGAGATGTAGTCTACTTTTTTTTATCAGCTTACAGTTGTTATTGATATCAATCATGTGGTGTTTTCGCCTTGTTTCACGTTGTGGTTTTTTAGACATTCAAATTTGTGAACGATTCCGGTGTAAAATGATTAGCACAGACACCTAACGTTAAGCCAGTGGGAAGGGTTGTAGGAACCGCGTCATTAAAAATGAATTTAATCCACTGGTCCCTGACAGCTTGGTCCGTTCTTGGGAGAGAAAACACATTTAAGTTACATGTTGATTCTGGCAGTCAACAACAGAGCAACTCACGTGTGCACTACGTTTCTGCATCTTTCGCGACTGAATATGAGGGGGAGAGGGGCAGGGCGGGCTTCCTGCAGCATAGGTGTCCATATATGGTATTTCCTGCCCCGTCTTGACGTCAAGTCGGGGCAGAAATTAAAATCTCGTATTTGAGTGCGCATGCACGTGGGCTGGTTGACGAACCCAGGGGTAAACAAACGCTTCACTTTTAAATATCGGCTTCCCGGCCAGTGTATAATCGTTAGGCAATCATAACATACAGTAGCCGTGTTTCCACTGTCGGGCCAGAGCCGGGCCGTGCTAGTTCACCCCTAGCGTGTTTTAGTGAAGCGCTGTGGAGCTTCTGGCCAGACAGTGGAAACGCAACAGCTGGTTTTGAGCCCGGTGCTCCTGGCCCGAGGCCATTAGCCCGGCTCGGCCCAGTTTAAAGCCCTGGCTCGCACTGGCCCGACAGTGGAAACGCGGCTATTGATTCTCGTGGAAAAGTGAAAATTAGACAGCATAGACAGGACCTCAATGATGCATTGATGTGGATGGGTCTGCATCAAAAACATTTTTTGGCCACAAAGTCTGATCAAAAAAGCACTTTACCTGTAGAGTGTGTATCACAACTGGGAGAGTGCTGAGCATTGTCTGCAGGTAATACACTGACTAGACGCAAGAACATCAACCTCACTTTGAAAATACTGTAGTATCTGTTTTTGAGTCCCAGAATGAAATGTTTAATTATTATATTATTGTAGGAAGAGGAGTGTTTGCCACACAACCCATTGAACCCGGGGACTTCGTGTTGGAGTACAGGGGTAAACTCCTCACACAGGAGGAATGCAAGTCAAGAAAATACTCAGAGATTGAAAGCACATTTCTCTTTGACTTTCAGTGGCAGAATCATCACTTATGGTAAACATTGAAAGATGGATGTTTTGTATTGATTTAGCGAAATTACGAGTTAACCCTGAAACAAGGGTTTAATACTTGATGAATGAGTTAAGCAAAAATACTCTTAAATTCTTTTGAAAATAACTCTTTCAATAAAACTTTTAAAAAGATGTAAAACTATTACCATTTTTTTGATACTTTTCAGCCTGGATGCATCTGAAGAAGATTTATCTCTCGGAAGATTGGTCAATGACAACCACCAAAATCCAAATTGCGTTATGAAAAAAATCATAGTTGACAACAAACCACATTTGTGCCTTTTTTCTCTGAAGAAAATAGAAATAGGAGATGAAATTGATTACAACTATGGTGATTCAAAATGGCCTTGGCGCTGTAAGGTGAGTTGGTTAGATTAAGTATAGAGATTTCTTTTTTTAAATTTTTTTGTTGCAAAAGAAAATTTTGTATTTCTCCAAAATTAACCATGTTTCCAATATTACTCTTGACTGTCTATGGAAATGCATTTAATCTTTGATCTGTGATGTGTGTTAAAATGAGTTCTTCTTTATCTGCAATCCAGTTGAAAAAAAACCAAGCTCCAGCCGCAGCAGAAGAGAATGAGACCAGCCCTGTTCCTCAGATGCTGAATGATAGACCTAACCCAGATCAGACCTGCACACAGGTAAAAGTACATTCAAACACATTCATCTATGCTGACATGTATCCATGACCCTATCCTAACCCTATCCATGATCCACTGCAAACTCTTGGAATAGACGTGAGCAGCTTTTTAGTCCATGCTCTCAGTTAAAGTTCAGTGCTGTTTCACCATTAGATGACCTTATTAGCCTGTGAATGTCTCTTCATACAGTTCTGAGTCTCTTCTTGTCTGTCTATTTCAGGTGAAAGGCCTTCAGACTCCTGCTGCAGCAGAAGAGAATGAGACCAGCCCTGTTCCTCAGATGCTTAATGATAGACCTAACCCAGATCAGACCTGCACACAGGTAAAAGTACATTCAAACACATTCATCTATGCTGACATGTATGTGGTGGTGTTCTATTACTAAAGTGGACCAATGCTTATGTGGCTTTATATTGGCTGTTAAAGGCCAGGTAATGTCACACACACCGGCATGTTTCCAGTCATGTTCTTATGGGGTCCTTCCATCTTCCAAATACATTTGTTTCTCAAGTCCCTCCTTTACACACTCGTATGTCTGTAGTCTGACCCATGTGGGGCCCTTCCGTCCAGTTCTTACGGTAATTGTTTTTAATGCACTGTGGCAACACCTGACATGACCTCAACTGTGATTTTAACATTCGTAATTGTATACTGTGTCTGAGCTGTTAGATGTTTTAAAGCAATATTTTGATTTGATCCACTGCAAACTCTTGGAATAGACGTGAGCAGCTTTTTAGTCCATGCTCTCAGTTAAAGTTCAGTGCTGTTTCACCATTAGATGACCTTATTAGCCTGTGAATGTCTCTTCATACAGTTCTGAGTCTCTTCTTGTCTGTCTATTTCAGGTGAAAGGCCTTCAGACTCCTGCTGCAGCAGAAGAGAATGAGACCAGCCCTGTTCCTCAGATGCTTAATGATAGACCTAACCCAGATCAGACCTGCACACAGGTAAAAGTACATTCAAACACATTCATCTATGCTGACATGTATGTGGTGGTGTTCTATTACTAAAGTGGACCAATGCTTATGTGGCTTTATATTGGCTGTTAAAGGCCAGGTAATGTCACACACACCGGCATGTTTCCAGTCATGTTCTTATGGGGTCCTTCCATCTTCCAAATACATTTGTTTCTCAAGTCCCTCCTTTACACACTCGTATGTCTGTAGTCTGACCCATGTGGGGCCCTTCCGTCCAGTTCTTACGGTAATTGTTTTTAATGCACTGTGGCAACACCTGACATGACCTCAACTGTGATTTTAACATTCGTAATTGTATACTGTGTCTGAGCTGTTAGATGTTTTAAAGCAATATTTTGATTTGATCCACTGCAAACTCTTGGAATAGACGTGAGCTGCTTTTTAGTCCATGCTCTCAGTTAAAGTTCAGTGCTGTTTCACCATTAGATGACCTTATTAGCCTGTGAATGTCTCTTCATACAGTTCTGAGTCTCTTCTTGTCTGTCTATTTCAGGTGAAAGGCCTTCAGACTCCTGCTGCAGCAGAAGAGAATGAGACCAGCCCTGTTCCTCAGATGCTTAATGATAGACCTAACCCAGATCAGACCTGCACACAGGTAAAAGTACATTCAAACACATTCATCTATGCTGACATGTATGTGGTGGTGTTCTATTACTAAAGTGGACCAATGCTTATGTGGCTTTATATTGGCTGTTAAAGGCCAGGTAATGTCACACACACCGGCATGTTTCCAGTCATGTTCTTATGGGGTCCTTCCATCTTCCAAATACATTTGTTTCTCAAGTCCCTCCTTTACACACTCGTATGTCTGTAGTCTGACCCATGTGGGGCCCTTCCGTCCAGTTCTTACGGTAATTGTTTTTAATGCACTGTGGCAACACCTGACATGACCTCAACTGTGATTTTAACATTCGTAATTGTATACTGTGTCTGAGCTGTTAGATGTTTTAAAGCAATATTTTGATTTGATCCACTGCAAACTCTTGGAATAGACGTGAGCTGCTTTTTAGTCCATGCTCTCAGTTAAAGTTCAGTGCTGTTTCACCATTAGATGACCTTATTAGCCTGTGAATGTCTCTTCATACAGTTCTGAGTCTCTTCTTGTCTGTCTATTTCAGGTGAAAGGCCTTCAGACTCCTGCTGCAGCAGAAGAGAATGAGACCAGCCCTGTTCCTCAGATGCTTAATGATAGACCTAACCCAGATCAGACCTGCACACAGGTAAAAGTACATTCAAACACATTCATCTATGCTGACATGTATGTGGTGGTGTTCTATTACTAAAGTGGACCAATGCTTATGTGGCTTTATATTGGCTGTTAAAGGCCAGGTAATGTCACACACACCGGCATGTTTCCAGTCATGTTCTTATGGGGTCCTTCCATCTTCCAAATACATTTGTTTCTCAAGTCCCTCCTTTACACACTCGTATGTCTGTAGTCTGACCCATGTGGGGCCCTTCCGTCCAGTTCTTACGGTAATTGTTTTTAATGCACTGTGGCAACACCTGACATGACCTCAACTGTGATTTTAACATCGTAATTGTATACTGTGTCTGAGCTGTTAGATGTTTTAAAGCAATATTTTGATTTGATCCACTGCAAACTCTTGGAATAGACGTGAGCAGCTTTTTAGTCCATGCTCTCAGTTAAAGTTCAGTGCTGTTTCACCATTAGATGACCTTATTAGCCTGTGAATGTCTCTTCATACAGTTCTGAGTCTCTTCTTGTCTGTCTATTTCAGGTGAAAGGCCTTCAGACTCCTGCTGCAGCAGAAGAGAATGAGACCAGCCCTGTTCCTCAGATGCTTAATGATAGACCTAACCCAGATCAGACCTGCACACAGGTAAAAGTACATTCAAACACATTCATCTATGCTGACATGTATGTGGTGGTGTTCTATTACTAAAGTGGACCAATGCTTATGTGGCTTTATATTGGCTGTTAAAGGCCAGGTAATGTCACACACACCGGCATGTTTCCAGTCATGTTCTTATGGGGTCCTTCCATCTTCCAAATACATTTGTTTCTCAAGTCCCTCCTTTACACACTCGTATGTCTGTAGTCTGACCCATGTGGGGCCCTTCCGTCCAGTTCTTACGGTAATTGTTTTTAATGCACTGTGGCAACACCTGACATGACCTCAACTGTGATTTTAACATTCGTAATTGTATACTGTGTCTGAGCTGTTAGATGTTTTAAAGCAATATTTTTGATTTGAATTTTGATGTTAAATATTTTGATTTGATGCACTGAAAACCCCTGTAATGGTCAATTGGACCATGGACCAATGCTCACGGGGCTTTAAAGTAGTCAGGTGACCTTTATTGGGTTGTAAAGGCCAGGTAATGTAACACACACTGGCATCTTTCCAGTCCCATTCTTGTGGGGCACCTTTTAATGCATTATGGTAACATCTGGGGAGGAAAAAGAAGAAAATCTGCATACTGGGTTAAAGCTCACAGTTACCTTTTTTATTGACTAAAAAACAAAGGTTTCGATCCAAATGGTCTTCCTCAGGCAACTATATGATAGTATTGTAATACTATAGTATAGCTGTACTCTGATTTTAACATTTATAATTGTACACTGTCTAAAAGGGCTGATGTTCACATTTCTGGATTTAGATTTTTAGTCAGACCATGCCATGTTTCTTTGGCCAACCTTTCTAATTCCATACTTAATGAATTTTTGTTTATTTTTAGGTATTTACTGTCCAAGGATTTTCACTGGTTGATTATCCAGATAGTGATGAAACTGATGAGGATGGTATGGAAAACGAACCTCCCACCCCACACCTGGATGTTATTATAGGGCAGAATGATATTGGCCCAGATTTTTCAGATCATTTGTACGATTCAGATGAAACTGTTGTGAAAGAAACTTGTGATGAGGCTTCTCCAAGCAACCATTCCAACAATCAATCGGATGATGAACTTGTTCCACCACTGAGACGCACAAAAAGCATTCTGGTAAGCCCCAAAACACATTTTAACAATATAATTGTTTATGTGATAAATTTTTTGCCACTAGTAAGCGAATTTGAATTTTATATTTGAATGGGAATCATTTACTTTGAACCTGAATCGATTGTTTTGAACAATTGCTTTTAAAATCTGAATTTAAATGGATTCATTTGAAATTGAATCTATTGGATTGGCATAAACACCTGCAGGAGTGATGTCCAGTGATCAGCGCTCAGGTGTGTGCTTAAAAAAAAAAAAAAAAAGATACAACGTGCCCAGTGATGTAGGCTACTGGTCAGCCAGCATACCGGGACAAACCCCGGTAGGGCCGGTCTCTGTTGCCAAAATCCGGTCGAGTCCTCGTCCTCGCCTGGTGCATTAATTATCAATTAAATAGAGATCACCAACAATCAATCAGTAATCATTTATTAGAGAAGCTCAACTCTCTCTCTTTTCTGACTGATTAAATTATTGACTAATCTCATATATAACATATTGCTACCCTGTCTACTGTTCTGAACCTCAAAACCACTGAGCTCGACCAGTTGGCAGACTTCCTTGGTCATAATATCGCTGTTCACAGGAAACACTACAGGCTCCCAGAAAGCACCCTCCAATTAGCCAAAGTAAGTAAAGTCCTCCTGGCAATGGAACAAGGACGCCTAGGAGATTACAAAGGAAAGAGCCTCGATGAAATACAAGTCGATGTGAATGGTAATTAACTTTATATTCTTGAAGGCACAATATATGACATTTAGTCTTCCGCATTCAGAAAACAACTATTTACCATGTAAAACATAGGGCAGTAATGGTGACGGGATGAGAGATAATGCTACTGTTGTATACTCTTGCAGATTGCCCATAGTTTCAGCTTTCCAAACTCAATTTTTTATCAATTATCATTTTAGAGACCATTGACATGGAGGGACCTTTAGCAGAGGACATTGAAGGTATGTGTATACGATGTTCCTAAATTGATTTTTAAATGATCCGTTTTAGATATTTTGTGTATTGTATTAAGTTATTTCCCTCTCCAGATGTCAGTATGCTAAGAGATGATGGGTCAGACGATGAGGTCAGCATGTCATCCACGCAAGAATGTACCTCCACATCACAAAGTCAAAACCAGGGAGTGTCTGCAACCGGTGAGCTTGAACGCAATTCTTACCTTTCGTGCATTTCACACAGCACGTGGCAAAAATTTCAACATCAACAACTCCACCTCCCTTCTTTGTCCCACCCACCTCTTTCTCCTGCAACTCTGTCAGGAGACCTGTATGATGCAGAGGCTGCACAATCAGTCAAACACAACCCCAGTTTTAAAACTGAACACTGCGTCAGTACTGCCTGAAATTACAAGTAGCATTAACTTTGAGGTTAGCGGGAACCCACCTATTGCTTATAGGTTGCTCTAATCTCTCGGCACAGACTTCATACAGGGATAGCACAGCTACTCCAACACGTCCCTGTCACTACAGAACATCTGGAATGTGCGCGATAAGGTGATGCAGGACAATTCCCTGAGCACATTATCCAAGTCTGCTTCATGGCAGCAAACAGACTCCACGGTTGATCGCAGTGACCGCACTTGCACTGCAAAGGGTTGCCGACCCTCTCCTCACTGTCATCTCCGTCCGGAGCTGCTGCAGCTCCCTCAACCAAAAACGGGTCTCTCAACCCTCCTCCTCATCACTGGCTCAAACGCATATGCCATCGGGTTAGATGACATCTAATAAACTCATACAGCCTTGTCGTTAATTCTACTTGTAATGTCAGTAACAACAGTCGCTTTCTGTCTGATGAAATCAGTTCATCTTATATTGTCCAACATACAATCTTTTCGGCGCACAGCTACTTCAGCACTAGTGGACTGCGTGGGACGGTCTGTCGTCCATACACTATATGAGGAAATATACTGCTTGAGGGCCACTATCCTTTAGGTTTTAGATGTTTCCCTGCTGCAACACACCTGATTCATTGTGCAGAGCTTGGCAACAAGCTGTTTGATCTATTTAATTTGAATCAGGTGTGTTGAAGCAGGGAAACATTTCAGACCTGCAGAATAGTGGCCCTTGAGGACTGGAGTTGCCCATCCCTGGGCTAACATGACAACTAATATTTTCACGTCACTAGTCACTTGAAAAGAATTTAGGACTATAGGAGACGGGATGAAATAAACTGTCTCTCTTTAAGAGACACAAATCCCATATACTGACTTCTTATTAAGTGCCTTGAGACGACATCTGTTGTGAATCAGCGCTATATAAATAAACTGAATAGAAAATTGAATTGAATATACTAAATTATTTTATAAAATAACACAACCACTGCACTGACGGCTATTACATATTTCATGTAGTGTATACTACAATAAAGTTATTTGTTTGTCCAGATGTCAGTATGCCAAGAGAAGAGGGGTCAGAAGATGAGGTCAGCATGTCATCCCTGCAAGAATGTCCAAAACCGGAGTGTGTCTGCAAAAAAGAGAGGTAAGCTTTGGGGCTTGCACTCTCTTTTGGGCCAGAGCTGCTCATTTATTTTTAAGGGCTTTTACTTTGCTTCCTTGACTCAACACTTGAAATATGTCTGTCCCTCCTTACTGTCCGGTGCCACAAGCCTGACAGTGACTTGAAAGAAGCTGTTGCAGGAACAGACCTTGTGAGCCTGCATTGTCGCAGGTTGTAGGGTTGGGGAAAGACTGGCATTATCACCTTTATATCAATAAGAAGTCTGTTGTATTTAAAAAAAAAAATCTTTAACACTTTATGGACTTACTCAGGAAAAATGCTTGCATTTCCTCCAACAACGGAGGTGTACAGTGACCAGTTGAAACACTCGAACAACCTATAATCACCTTAAATACCTCCTAACTGCTAGTGTTCCTTCATCCAAGTCTCATTAAGCCTCCACATGCAGCTGACTTTATTAAATGACCTTTTAAAAGTGCCTTATAAATAGAATATATTATCATTATTATTGTTTTTTATTATTATTTTGTGAAATGCAAAAAAGAATAAAATTGCTTTAAGTGAGAGAGTGTGTGTTTATACTCGAGTGTAGGGTAAAAGCATCCTGTTGCAGTTTCTTTTCCAGAATTATAATGTAATGCCGTCAGCAACACACAAAGAAAAAAGAATGCAATCAAAACCGTTAACTATAAATAAAGTTAAAAAGCAAAACTAAACGGAATGCATCTGAGCAGGCACTCCTCCGTTGCTTTCTGCCTTTCTTTCACCCGTTGCAGCTCTTCCTTCAGCCAGTTGTCGGTCGTTCTCATGGTGGTTTTGGCAAAAGAGGGAGCACGGGGCTTGGAGAAGCTGGCAGCACAGGGGGGCTGGGGTTTTTCCACCGCTTCATGCACTCTTTCAGCAACGAGACCAAAACATCCGGAGACTTGTGATCACTCTGGCCAATTACAAGAGAGTACATCCACGTAGCTGCGTTTGCGTAGCTGGGCAGCACGTCAGGTCCGAAGAGGTGCCCATCAAGCTGCATAATTAAGGATTAATTTGCAGTGTTTTTGTTTTTACCAAACCAGTGTATAAAATGAATAATAATCTCAGTCATGTTATTATGAAGAGTTGTTTATTCCAACAAATAAGATCTTTATTTATTTACATTGTTAACAGTGCAATGTCTGCAGTGTTCTCTCGCTCTCCACTGAAATTTATGTGCTCAGTGTGAAGTCCACCTTTACTTATAGTGGTAATCCCAGAAACAGTTCCTGTCCTCTGAAAAACAGAGGCGGACATCACACTTACTGCATTGGGTATTGGTGTACCCTTTACTGCAATGTCTGCAGTGTCCTCTCTTTGTCTTCAGGGGGAAACGTCCAGTTTGGTCCATGCGCGCATCCATGGGCGGTGGTTTGCGTGACTTTTTAGAAGAGGGAGCCTTTGGACTTCCATCATCCATGTGTGGTCTCTTTCCACTATTCAGAGGGCTCCTGTCTCTGGGCTCTTGTTGATTGAAGATGGCCGTCCTCTCTTTGGCGTTTTCAGTGTTGTGTCCGCCAGATTAGAATATAAATGTATCAATTTATGTACATCTCAAATTCCAGTCTGATTTATCACAAACAAGGTAAATAGCACAAATAGATCATTACCGTAATGAGAGAGGAAGCCAGCTGTGCTTGGAACTTTCTCATATTCAGTATCTCCTTTGGCATCCTGAGAGCATAGGCTGTGCTGCTTGTAGAGGAGCCAGGCGTTGACCACAGCAAGGGTGATTGTGTGCCAGAAGATGTACATGTACCACCACCAGGATTTCAGTGCATACTTGTGTTTTGCTGTAAATGAGTCCAACAAATCCACACCTCCCATGTATTTATTGTAGATGCCCACAATGGAAGCCTTTCTAACGTCAATGTAGGTTTTGGGTTTTGTCCCAGTGTTGAATCTCCTGAACAGGTTCTGGTCCAGCGAAGTGTCACCGCCCTGTTGTCGTACCATTGACAGCACAGATGTTGTTTCCCCTCCACTCTGTGGTCAAAGCTTCCTCTGCCCTTCTTCTTCAAGCTCTTCACATGTAAAGATTACAGTTGGGGAGATGCACTTGCCTGGCTGTTCCCACATAATGGATTCCTTGCTCAAGGAGCTTCACTACCAGTGGTACGGAGGTGAAGTAGTTGTCTGCCTAGATCTTCTTGTGTTGACCCTTTGGAAATGTGGAGGCAAGCTTCATTACAATCACCTGACAATCCAAGTTTAGATTTGACTCGTACATCATTGTTGCTCCCTTGGTAAACATCAAAGTCAAGCATCATGCTAGAGATTCCAGCTTTCACCCATACTTTAAAGCCCCATGAGCATAGATTACCTTGCATATACTTCTTGATGCTGCTGAACTTCCCGTTGAAGGTATCATCATCTTGTCCATGGAATGTGCTCTTCTGGTACCACCTGCAGGCAGTTTTCTCTGAGTGAATCAAGCCGTGGTCTGAGTTTCCAGAGTTTGTCCCTCTTTTCAGTCTCTGGCACGGTTAAATTGTTTACAAAATGTAATGTTCCATCCTCAGGTACATGCCCAATGCTGCCTGTATTTCTTTTGTATTAGTGTTGACTGATCTTTCATCATTTTGAATGCTATACTCATTCGTATTTGTTGCCAGAGCTTGAACCAAATCTTCTGACAAAAACTTTTGGAAGTATTGCAGTGGTGTGTGGAGGGAGGTGACATCATCTGTGAGAGCTTGACCAGAAAAATCAGTGACGTCTGTCATGTGGCATGATGTATTTCTTTGATTGCCCGGGTCAATATTCACATTAGCTGGACAATTGGTAGGTTCTTGGTTTTCTTTGTCCACAGAGACATCAATATCTGATTCTTCATCACTCGCATCAGTGTCGTCAAAATCTATGTCCACATCACTTTCTCCGTTTTGGATGATGGCAATTACATTGTGCACATTGTACCAGGATTTCTCCTTGCTGGTGGCATTCTGAAATGGAAAAGATAAAATTGAAACAAATTTCCATTGTATTACAAATAGCACACATGCCTCATTATGACTGTTCACACTTTGGACTGAAGCAGCCTATTCACACATCTCACGGTCACGCTATACCCTAATGGCTCACCTATAGTAGACTGTGATTGTAATCCTTACTGGAATGCATTCAGCGTCCAGTTTACAACAAAAACTAACAGTGATGAACATTTACACCTGTGTCAGAACAAAGCACCAGGAGCATCCCGCACAACTTGGAGGATTGGCCAGTGGCCAGGTGTCTCTTGCAAAAGAGATCTTGGATCTCAATGGGACAGACCTGGTTAAATAAAGGTTATAGGCCTAATGATAATAAGCTCTTTGACTATAAATTGATAAGAACATTTTGTTTATCAGTAGACTAAGAAAAGGCAGATTTGCACAAACAGAATTTCTTTGTTAGAAAGTCCTGCAGAATGTGATAGCAAATTATAATGTTTAGATATGGCAATATCTTTCAACTTTAGTCTCTAATACAGTATAGAATATGTAATCCGATATAAAGCTAAAGGTTG